ATCTCCAACAAACTACAGACATTCATCAACAGCTGCCACCCACACTCACTCGATACTGAATATCGATGGGATGGCCAGAATAATAAGAATGAGCAACAAGGAACTCTGGCTGGCTGGCAAGGAACCAACCAAGAACCCATTGCCCAACAAATATGCAGAGGAAAGTGGAGATGGATTAGATGGGATATACACTGAGAAGACCATTTGGGGACATCACGCAACAGGCCCTCGAGTGGAAGCCATATGGGAAACGACGAGTTGGGCGTCCCAGCTGAGGGTGACATGGAGGAGATCGTGTGGGGAAGAAATGAAAGCTTGTGGGCAGTTGTGGAGCCATGTTGAAAAGGCTGCAGAGAAGAGAGTGAAATGGCGATGTGTTACTGAAGCCCTATGTCCCACTAGGAACCCAAAGGACAAATAAACTCAAAAAAATATGTGCTGTTCAACTGAATGGATCTGTAGGGGCTAGGACGAATCGTGAGACTAGGTGATGCCTATTCTTAATCTCCGCCTACGCACCCATCAACTGCAGTTCGGACAATGCAAAGGATGAATTCTATGAGAAGCTGTCAACTTTGCTGCAGAAAGCAAAACGTTCAGATGTAGTCATAGTGACAGGTGACTTTAACGCTCAAGTAGGGAGACTGATCTAATCGGAAAGGCATGTGAGAAGTATTTACGGAACCCCATGTAAACGAACGGACAACATTGATCGTCTGACGCAATTGTGTCCCAACAATCACTTGTTTCTGCCCAGCACTGACATTAGGTATAAGGAGAGACACTGTCTCACATGGCGTCCACTGACATCAAACGACCTTGGACACAGATAAGTCACATTGCTATAAGCCATCGTTGGGTAGAATTGGTGGAGGATTGGCGCTCTTTCTGGAGTACCGGTTTAGAGTCCGATAATGCGCTAGGACGGACTCATGTATGTCTGCGCTTACTGGTGGTAATGAAAGAGGAGGGAGTGAGGTCCATCTGTGTTCGACTGGTAGATGAGAATGTCAAGTCTGAATTTAGAGCGGAGTCGGCTAGGCAATTACCTGAATGTGACAGCAGTGCTAATTCCGAGGGAACCTGGTGGGATATTACGTCTGCTGTAGAAGCAGCGGTAAAGACAGTTGGTAACTTACATCTGATGGTTAGTAAACGTCATCGGATTTCTGAGACGTCATCCGAACTGATTGATAGGAGAAGGATGATTCCTGCTGGCTGTGACCAAGACGAAGAGTGAAGGCATCTTAAACGTGAGTTGACGAAGAGTCTTCGTGTCGACCATGAGCAGTGGTGGGTAGAGAAAGCGAGGGAGGTGGAGAAGGCATCAGAGTTAGATAACACGGTAACTGGTTAGGCTTACTAAGGATACTAGCAAGAAAGAGTGAAACCATCACTGAAAAGGATGAGAAGTTGATAACCTCCAAGGACAGATGGCTAGAACCTCGGGTAGAACACTTTGAAGCTCAATCCAACTGGTCCTCAGCAATGCTTCAGTTGCCCAACATTCAGCCTAAGCCTAAACGGGACGTAGATGTCGGTCCTTTAACTCTCATTGAGGTTGAGAAGGCTGTATCGAACTTGGAACAATGCAAAGCACCAGGACCTGATAGTCTACCACCGGAAGTTTTCAAGGATGCAGATAGGAAACTTCTAAACAGTGTATGGGGATCAGAGGTTGTGCTGTTATACTGGTGTACTTCAATGATCATCCCAGTCTATAAGAAGGGGGGAAATCTTCTTGTAACAATCATAGGGGAATTACTTTGACTGATATTAGGTCCAAAGCCCTAGCGTCTATAGTTATCCAACGCCTAACTGAAGATCGAAAACAGCAGACTTGAGAGAACCAGGTAAGTTTCAGACAGAGCTGGACGAGGCTGCCTCTACCATATTTGACCCTTCCGACAGGCTCTGGAATACGCGTACCTACCGGCAGCCAACACTTGCCATATTCCTCGACCTGAAGGCGGCATTCGACTCAGTCGACTGTGAAGTGTTGTTGCAGTGTCTGCGAAAGGAGTACCGTGAAAGTAAATAGTGCTAGCCAAAGCTCCTTTTATGAAATCACACAGTCGTGTCAGAGCGTATGGAGAGTTGTCATGTGAACTCACGACTCATGGTGTTCTCCAGGGATGTCAACTGTCACTATTCGAGGTCAGGCAAAGGATACTAGGCAAGAAAGGCAAGTCGTTTGACGAGGTTGTGAACCTTAGTCGACCGAGATGGCTTGGATATGTACTGCACGTGCCGAGCCACAGCCTACTCGACGTGTCATGCTGGGGGGAGTTGGAGGAGGGTTCAGGTTGGCTACGCGTAGACGTGCCGCAAGTTAATGAGTTACTGACGAAATGAACGTGGAACTTGGCACCTAGTTGTTGTCTGAAGTTTAGACTTCAAAGTAGTACCCAGGGAATAGGTGAGTCGAAAATCAGCAAATATATAATGTAGTGTGCAATCATAAGCAGTCTGGTAATAAACATCATTCACTGTCTTCTTCCATAAGAACCTCGGGTGGGAAATCGTGAAATCCTTCTGCTTCGCATCAGCTCAGGTTCAATCAAGCTTTCTCAACTTGAACAGCAGTTGGCAGGCCGCCATCTAGGTCCCGTCCAGATTCAGACTGAATGATGGACAACTGAAGTGTTGCCCTGAACTGTGCTTCAGTGGTCCATCCAACGTTACAGCTGTCTGTCATGAGAGATTATGAGTGTTTCATCCTTTTCGGTGATTGTCCCTCTGACCATCGTCTTTTTCTTGCTAGTTTCCTTAACAAGCCCAAATAAATGCCTGGTATTACCTATTACCGACGCCTTCTCTATCTCCTCCACCTTAACCACCCACATTTGCTCGTGGTCATTGTGAAGGCTCTTAGTCAATTCACGTCTCAGTTGCTTTCACTCCTCGTTGCGGTCGGAGCCAGCCGGAATGAGTCATCTCACATCAACCAATCACGATGAGGTTATGGAAATCCATTGATATCTTTTAACCTCTGGATATGGGTTGCCAACTGTCTTTACTGCTGTTTCTACAGTAGACTTAATATTACTTGAGGCATCATCAGGAACAGGATTTCTATCACGTTCAAATGAATGCCTAAATATCTTCTCTCTAGATACATACTTTATGTCTTCCTCTCCCAGTCAAATACACGAGCTTCACTCTTTATTGCTTCCTGTGCCCAATTAGGTGTGAAAATACACACGCCCATACTAATGCGTCATCAAAGTCTACGCAGGAACTCCAAAGAAGAATGGCAATACTTCACCAATCCTCTCTGAAGATAGCTTTCCGCAATATGATCTATCTGTGTCCACCGTTGGTTTGATGTCAGTGAACATCAAATGAGACAATTTCTCTCCTTATGCTTGAGGTCAGTCCTAGCCAGAAACAAGTGACTTAGAACAAAACTGCTAGAGACGACCACCGCTTTCAGTTCAGTTGTATGGGATACTGTAGATATCTGTAGGATGCTTTTCTGATGGGTCCAGCTTCATCTACCTCAGCGTTAAAGTCACCTGCTACTGTGACTATATTTGGAAGCACTGCTTCATGTAGCTAAATTGACAGATTTTGATAGAACCCATCCCTTGGATTATCCGACTTGAAGTCTGCGAGTGCATAGGTGGAGATTACGAAGAGGTACCGGCGAGGGTCAGGATCCTTAGTTTCCGCTCAGTCAGGCAGTTTAGACGGCTGCTCTTTGTAATTCAGTTATGTACCTACGCTAGCTTGTCCACGAGAGATTTTTTATTTGGACTAGGTAAGGTTATGTGGTTGAATATATTCGGTTTTAGCATATGTTTTCTTCAAGATTTCGAAGTCTGATTTAAACGTGATTCCAATGTGTGGAAACCCATATCACGTCCCCGGATGGTCGAAGTGCAGTAATGTTTGTGCTAAGTTGAGATCCAATCTTTCATATACTCTCCTTGTGCTTATGAAGACAGTAGAACCATAGACTTCTGGTCATCCAGCCAACAGTACAACTTCCTCCAGCGCCACAGCATAAGCTATTCACACCATGAAGGTATCTTTAATCCCAGTATTATCTAGCATAGTGGGATTTCAAGGGATAAGCTCAGCTAACAAAGCGCGTTGGGTCATTGCGATGTACAAGCCTAACCAGTTGGTCAGTTTAACTTCTGTAGGTGAGGCAAATCATCACAAACAAATCAAGTAAAAGAATGTTCTTGCGCAAAAACTTTAATCCTTCATGGAGTATTTATGGCAGATGTTTGAGAGTACAAAATAGGTAGGTCTTTCCTCTTACTTGGGGCTGCGTCACCAAACTGATGGATAATCAACAGCACCATAAGTTGAAGTCATGATAAGGAGTTTGCCCATAGAGTGATAGTCATTTACGTAACAGTTTGATATTTTTTCATTGTTTCTAAGTACAGCCTAGGCAATTGAGAACTAATTAACTACTGAAAAATTACAGCATCGTCCATCACAATCCTCACATGTAATAGCACAAGTTTTCAGGGACAAGTTCGGTTAGAGCGAAAGAACACATATTTCATAAGGGTTACAAATAATCAGCAATCCTCCAAATACTACTTTAGTGCATGCAGTTATGTGTAAGTTAAAAAGAGGTTCGTAAAGTGGCACGTTCATAAACATGGGAAATGAAATTACATAAACCAGACAAAACATTTCGAAAAAAACAGCACACCGACGCAAAAGAGGGGACCAAAGTCCTCACAAAAAAAAGCGAACAACTTCGATGAATAATAAAAATGTCGAGTGAATCCAGGCCATATCAAAACTCAATTATCTTTTTACTTTTGGAACAAACTCCATACTGTATGGGCGCGTAAGAACATATCGTTACTAAGCTCCTTATTCAACTGATGGCGTTAGCACTATACCGAATTGTCGGTCAAAGTGAAGTCCTGAGGGAATTACACCTGAAGATTACTTTAAAACAATTCCACGCAAACTCATAATTTCAAACCAAATGAGAACAGGATACTGAAATAAAATACGTAACCTACTGTATCTCTAGATATTGTGGAATTCTTTAAGATGTCCTCCACTTCTTTAGAAAGTTCACCACCAGGCCGAAAAGGATTTATCTCAACTTCCGTAGACATCTCTCCCAAAAATGAGACCGAGTTTGAAAGTGAGCCGAATATGACCTCAAGAAGTCCCGCCAAAAGTTGCACTATTTGACCCACTAAAACAAATATGCAACTGCATTGTGCCTCTAAATCAACTACCATTTATTTTTTCGTAAATAAAGGTCTAGACAGCCAAGGTTTTATCATAGCAGTATCTTACTCTTGCTGGACTTCCTACTGAACAAGAACAATGTGAGACAAGTGTCCAGGGTAGCGTGCCACAGAAGGGGAAATTGAGAACAGCTTCGTAAGAATCAGTGGTATATCTTCGCCACCCCTTTTCAGGGCAACGGATGGGATCCCATCGGGATCGTGTGAGTTTTATAGTGAGGCAACTGCATCTGCTACCTTTTCGGTCTAAAGAAAACATTACTTAGCGAATAGTGTGACGGAATGGGTATCTGTATTTCTGGTAAACTATCTTCATTTGTGGAGCAGCCCGCAAGACTATTATTAAACGTCCCATAGATGTTACTTGAGTCATCGTAAAAAATGTCCCCATCAATTATCAGATTACTGGAAATTACTCTAGATAGGTTGGCACGGAACTTTATAATTCTCACTAGTGATTGAACACTGCCTGTTTGTGCGTTGCAGCTACTTTCTCGTTTGATTGCTTTCTGTAACCTAACTGATTTGAAGTTTTCATGGGCATTTTTTAATGAGACAAAGGATGAAAAGTCATTTGATTGATAGAAACTTCTTGCACATTCGTGTACGCTAATACATACATTTTCTGGGATGAAGTTCACTTTCGAATTTCTAATTACCACTTACACCGCCGGATTAATGTGGACGTGAGTTACATTCATGGAACTGTAGATGATGTCACTAAATTCACGGGTTGAGCTAGTGGTGAGATAGGAACCCCGGCTGAAGCATTGCAACGTGTAATGTATCTCTTTCGAGTCAGCACATTTATATCATCTAATTGCGGTTGCTTTTCATCTGGGAGCTGACGTAATACTAGCGGACAGTCGAAAGTCACCAAACACTACTCCGTGACCGCTGCTCAAGAATTATGGACCGACTTGAGGAGTAAAAGTCAATAATCCATCGGTGAAAACGAGGCCAAGTATGCTACGGTATCCAGTTGGTTACACTACATGCCGGAGCCATCCCCAGAATCTCACACACTTATTAAATTATCAAGCAGCCTGGGGGAAGTAAGTGACTGCCACATGATGTCAGGCACATTAAAGTCCCCGCACATAGGTTGTGTGGGGTAAGGTAATGTTGTTACGTGGCTGAACTCTTCTGAAAGCCTGACAATGTAATCTGCAGTGGAGCAAGAGGGATGGTAGACACACCCTCAGAGGGAAGTATAGCGTTTGGAAACCTCCCCACAACCCACACTGAGTCACCGAGCAAATTAAGTTTTGGAGCATTGAAATTCATAGCGGCGATATCAGACCTCACCGTGAGGGGCTTCCGAAGCACACCAAGCTTCAGTGATAAATATTAGGCAGGGATCAGACATAATCGACAACATAGTGATCTTACTCATTTTTTGCCCGTGAAACGGGCGTTAATCAGACAGAAGGTTAAAGAATTTGATAAGCAGCAGTACTAGAACCTATCCCGAAAGGCTTGTTCTGGTAGGTCGCGTTGAACTGTAGGGGTGAGAAACATGGGACAGAATTTAGGTTCGGGGACATACCAAAGGAATGGGATGTTTCTGGGTTGCTACTAATATTATCCTTTGTTGTGACCTGCCGCATGTGAGTCGGGAGGATGACAGTTTGGCGTAACTTCTCCTCTACCACTGTAGCCTTTGTGAGTTAGAGCTGAAAACAGCTGACTGGAACAGCAAAAGGTGCTATTAATTTTTGCAGTCCGAGAAAATTCGGATTTTCAGTATGAGCCCAGGGTATAGATGCCTGTGGAAATTAGCCATGTAAATCCATGGTTTCACTTCTGCTCGGGAAAGAGCGGGGTGCATTGTGTTGGAGAGCCACCACAAGCTTCGCCTGAACAGCAAGCTTCCAGTTAGGTGATATCGTCGTACTGCGGTGAGCATACACTGGAGCTGAATGTTGTATGGTTGGTTTTGAGGAGAGAAACCTGCGATTTCTCCTGTAGCCCACGTTCTCCTGACTGCGGGAGGCATTTTCGCTGTGAACATTCTCACGCACGTAACCATTCTTTTTACTGCCTTGGTTTATGAATCCTACCTTCCTGTTGGTCAATGAAGTTGCAGCAGTGCCTAGTGCCGTAACGACGGACGTCGTGAATGTGTCTGTGTGGGGGAATGGGGTCGCTCTTTGAATGGTGTTATAACCACTAGTTTTAACAGACTGGAAGTAACTATTCTGAGTATGACTGAATCATTACTGTGCCATGGGCTTAGGCGGTAGTTCCGAAATAGGATTTTTAGTTTTAGATCTCCAAAATGCGGCACTTTGAGACCATGCACTGTCAATACACTTGGAGGTCATCATCGTATATGAGACGTTTAAGTGGGGCAAAAACCCATCAGCGTCGCTGCATCTGGGAGATGCGGGGTTCGTCGGTAAATTCAGAGGGATCAGGTTCATATCACATGTATCGTCACCGCTGCCATCTAAATAAACATTATCTGCGAATGAATCTACATAGATGTTGGAGATTTCGCCTTCTGTTTCAGTGGTTGCTAGCATGTTGACGGGTGAAACGGTAGCAACTGATGTGCTTGAAACAATATGCTCGGTCAGCCCTTGTTGACCTACACTTACAATGTTTTCTGGTGAGTTGAGCCAACTTCTAAACGCCAATATGCCTCAAGTGGCCGGTTTCGGATGAAGTTCCCAGAGGGACCTCATGAGGCTCCGATCCATTTTCGCGTCATTTAGACGGGGTAAGACCTGGAAGTGCCTTAACATTCTCGCAGAATTTTAATAGTCTTCTCGTTTTCTGTGAACCACAGAAGTGTCTCGCATCGGAGAGCGAGTTAGACTCGAATAATTTTGGACAGGGATATTTACTTGTCATCTTCCTCAGACGTCGGGCTCTACAAACAACAAACTACAAACCACAGGCTTAGAGAAAATCATTTGATAATAATAATAATATATTTCATACAACATAAGTTCAATGAAAACAAACCAGTTTACAGGTCTGATCATTTTGGTAATGTGAACTGACTGTTATGTACAATATGAAGCTATACAATAGACACCGTTCTTTCCAGTACATAAAAGATGCGTCTAGAGTAAGAACGTCAATGCTTTGCAGGCAGCAAAGGATGAAACAGACAAACTCCAGCACAACTGTTCATCATACTGAGGCAAGCTCAGTTCAGAAGTAGGAAATATTCGGCTATTGTTTGAATCTTGCAGTATTCTTGAAGATACGGCGGGTAGTACAGCTGTGACCTTGAGTGGAGTGCCTTTGTCATAAGGTCCAAATGCATAGTACACGCGACAGATTAGACTAATAGGATTCCATATGGATGAAGGACTGGTTGGGTGAACCTTAAAAATGAGTAACGAAGGCGAGCAGCAGACGAAATTCAGAACAGGAGCACAAAAATACTAAGCAGAAGTACATCGACCATGATACATGTCGGTGAGTTCATTGTACTGACTGCAAAAGTTACTTGAAGAGGCATCCAAAACCTACTGTTTGTAGATAAGCTTATGGGGAAGAAGATGAAGGTGCATAAAAAGTAGTGGAAACCAAACTGAAGCCGAAGATATTATCATGGAATCGAGAGAACAGAAGATTTTGGACCAGGTATTCGCTTATGTGTAGAAAACCTATGTACAAAAGTTTAATGAAGTTATAAACATTTAAATAGAACTCATGCTTTGTGCTGCAATGGTAACCACACTTTATATAGTCGTTGGGGAGGGATAATCATGGTGTTGCCTGTTGAGTGTTATCATCTCAGGACTATGAGACAATGCGGTGGTGCATAGTGAGCTGAGCTAGTAGGCCTGGAGGACGTATTTTGGTAACCTCATTCTTTTTACTACTATTTTGTCGCCATAAGTACAAGAGCCGTAGGTTTAACACATTTTAACGAAAAACTATCGGACATTGAGAACGGTGGAGTTGTGGATGATTTCGGTCGTTTGCCAGCTTCAGTAGCTACAAAGTTTACTTGTGTTTCACACTTGATAAGACTATCCGCTGATAAGCCCGTCGTAGGGTTCAGTAGGCAAATCAGAGGTGCGAGAAATCCAGTTTAAATATTTTATTTTAATATTAGTAATTTAACACGACGGAAGTCAGTTTACAGGCACCATCACGTTGATATATGTTCGAAAATTTGCAAGATTTTATGAGGCCTGAATGGAATGGGAGGGAGGTCATTAAATTCAATTAAAAACCTCAGAAGATTATACAAGTTGTGAAATGAACACGAAAACCACTTTTCAACGCATACGGAGTGTTAAAGTTTGTGTCATTTTCAGTCGTACTTTCTTTTTCACCGCTGGTGACACCAAGGTAGCGCATAATTCCAAATTTCCCTTACAAGCAGTCGACATGTTTGATTCATCTTCTCAGTGCCCCGTCACGCTAGATAAACGTCTACGTTGCACCTAGTGGCATATTTCGCATCCTTATTCGTGTTGAGTATTCTCATAGGAAAGTATCTCTGCACTTTCTGTCTCTCCGTAACCCTTATACTGCTGTATATAAATGAACGATATTTGAGCAGTGGTCGGACACATGTTTTATACAGGATAACTCTAGATTCGGTACTGTAGACGTTTCGCAGTAAGAAACCCACCACTTTGGGTGATTTAGACACTTGCGTGGATACGTGCTCAGAGAAGATTAGGTTGTGAGAATATCAGAGCCCTAAGTCCTGTATGGACTTCAGTTTTGGGAGTGAATGCCCGGTTAGCATAAGTTTAGTTCGAGTGCACGGTCACCTATGCATATCCAGCCAATTTTTTTGTCTTAAATTCGAGTCGCCAGGTGTTGCACCATTTGCTGACACGTCTTAGTTCCTGTAGCACAGAGCTGACAGTCAGGGCTAAGTC